GCCACCACATACGATAAAATGCACCTGTCTTATTTTTACATTTCCAACATTTATCTGAACAATTTTCATTCTGCTGAGACTGGATGAGCGTTATCGTTGTTCCACCTGAGGACACTCAAAATCGTCTGAGAAATATCCCGTCGGGTGATGGCAAAGTGGAATGACAGCACGCAACATTGCCTGGCACATCCCAAGCTTCTAGATCACCCCTTTTAACCCCTGTTGTTTGGTCCCAGAATCCTGTATCTTGCTTTTCTTTTTCCTTGAGTCACCTGAAGCCAAGGCACATGTGAAGCTGCCTCACTGAATCTGACCGCTGGTCCATCAGACTCAGTATTGTCTACTCGGGCAGCGGCTCTCCAGGGTCTCCGACTGAGGTCTTTTGCATCACCTCCAGCCCATTCCTTTTAATGGGAGGAGCTGGGGATTGAACCTGTGACGACCTGCTTGCCCAGCAGAGGCTCTTCCACTGAGTCCTTTTTTCCTGCAGTGTGTGTACTTTCTGGCTGTACAATGCTCAGTGAATTGTGTACATTAGGGACTGGTACATGGTGGGTGGATGAGAGCATGGCCCTAGTTTAGCTGGGGGGACAGGAAATAAGAATATGCAGCTATTTTGGCCTTTCCAAATGGCACGCTTCTGTGTAAGCAGGATAAAACCTCATGTGTTGTGAAATAGATTAGAGTGTCCCATGGCAAGAAGGTAAAAAGCAGAACTTCTAGTCTCTGGCAGGAGGGCAAGTCCATCCTTTCCCCCAGGACTCTCACACCTTTTGTCAATCTTTCAGGGTGATTGAGTGCACAGTGCCTCGCCCAGCCACTTGCTGGCTCTTCTTTATTGGAGGCACGGGGAGGTTTCTCCATCCAGCCTCCGGAGAGCTACGGAAGAGGGTGGTAGGCAGAGGAGCGGAGCAGATCGAAGAAGACCAACCTGCAGCCAGGAGAAGGTAACAGAGCATTCAGCGGGGAGTAACAGGAAGAAGGCGAGGGGTAGGGGGGAGCTGTATTGAAGTTAGAGATGTAAAATTTCCGGAAATTTCCCAGAAGGCAGTAGACAGGCAAGGCGGCGTAATAGCATGGTCGGGGAAGTGTATTTGGCCGTCGCGTCGGTTCTCCTTTCCCTTTCTTCTGCCGTGGTAGTTTTTATTGGCTGCGTGGGTTAAGACAAAGCTCTCTGGTACCGGTAGGTCGTGGGACTTTGTGGGGGGAGGTCGCATCCCGAAGTGTGGGAGGCAGCATGTCTTCCACCTCTGAGAATGAAAGTGTGCAAAGTAAGGAGGGAGCTCCTGACGAGTTTTCAACCCACTTGCAAAGTTTCTGCCAGGTTTAACCATCAGCTTTTGTGAGCCGGCTCCGGCGTACCCCTGGGGATAGGACTAGAGTCGATGGCAATGGTTCTTGCATGCATCGCCTGGTCCTCTTTCCTTACTCTCTTTATGCATTAGGGGATGTCCTGCTTTAGGCAGGTTTTCCTTTGCATTTGTTCCCCGGGCGGGGGCGGGCGCAGGCCGCGCTCCTGCCGATCCCTGGGCCCGAACCCAGTGAGTACTGTGGGCAGGGTATCTTGTTATCGGGGTCCGGGCTTGGGCGTCCCTAGCCCGGACACCAGTGATCTTTCAGAACTAAGCGGGGATTTGAGCCCGGGTGTCCCAGATCAGATGCTGCCACACTCAGGGCCGGGCCCCAGGGTTTTTTGCACACTAGGTGAGGATACCTTCTGCCCCCCCACTCCCCGCCACCAATTTTCAAACATGCATGCATTTTAGGAAGAATGAAAAACACCAAATTTGAAATTGCTAATTTCTTTCTTTCTTTTTAAATTGTGAATGTTCAGGCATGATTCCCTGAGTAAAGGACTGCCCCTCTGTGCTGTAGCTCCTCCCCCCACTCCCTGTGCTTTTTGTTATAAGAATCCCTAAAAAGATTCCCTTCTAATAAACATCTGAAGAAGTAACTTCTGATTCACAAAAGCTCATGTTGGAATATATTTTGTAAGTCTTTAAGGTGCCACTGGACTTCAGTTTCACTCCTTAAGACAGTCAGAGGCAATCCTCTCAAGTTAACATATCTGAGAAGCCCCAGTTCAATCTCCCTATTATAAAATGCCAAAAACAGCAGAGAGAGGCGTTGCATTTTGTGATTACCTCTCAGGAGAGACGCCTGGAGGCACCACAGACTTCAACAATCACTGGACTGACAGCATCTTCTAGCCCATGATGATGCTTTCAAGGAAAGCAATAAATGCCCCTAGAATGCAACTTTATAGTTTAGAACGCATGCATGCAGGTCATGAGGACTAGAAGGAGGAACAGTAACACACTTTTCCTTCTCGACATGTGTGGATTTTATCTGAAATGCAAACACTGGAAAGCCTTCTCCTAAGGGTCCCTTTCTACTAGTGTAGGCGCTAGGGGTGCCAACATTTAAACTGGTCCCTCTGGCTGCTCCTTTAGTATCTGTTCATCTGCAAGTAATTACCAGGTGACCTTAGTTAACTTCATTCCCTGAAAAAGTTTCAGCTGCCCCTTTGCACGCATTGAACCTCAATTAAAGGGACAGGACATTTCCCCTCTACAGTGTGTGGCAGCCCTAGTAG